AATCAAATTCAAGAGCATTGATAGGGCAAGATTTGGACAAAGTTTGTTACCCTAATACGATGCACATTACATAAGCAAGCAAAAGGCACGAGAATCAGGGTTGAAGAACGAGTCTGGAGTCAAAACAAAAACTTGCAAAACAAGAAAAAGTGTGACTTTGAATTCCACCCTAGAGGCATTTTCAGGGCTTAATTTTGGTCTCATTCGCTTCCTGGCAACTCTCACAAGCAAAACCAATCACAACCAGGCGTTTTCAAGCTTCCATACGCACTGTAATTCTCACGCGAGTTAGCCCTGTTCTTGATTTCGTACCTCTGAAATTAGGCATTGTTTTCATGAAATAACTGCATATCCTTAACCCTCACATCATTTGTCAACTGTTTGTAATAGCCAATTTCATTTATGTGCTCTGAATGGAGAACCACCATTGCTAGGGTTTGGTTCGTGGTTTTAGGGACTTTCGTTTCAGGTACAATTGGTCCACATGAAGGGCATAGTTGTGATCAAGAGGTTGTGACGAATCCAACCATGGTCTTAGAGTCCATTTTTGTGGGATGTGCAAGATTTTGGAGATGAGCAAGGTTGTAGCGACGGACCTCTGTCCGTTGGTATAGGTGGTTGCATTTTTAGCCACGGTTGGGAGGTCAGGGATGATGCATGTCACGTTCCCATTAGACCATTCAAAATATTTGCGTGTTTTTTTTTTTATTTTTTGACCATTGGATTTTGTTTCATTATATTATTATTTCTTTGTGTTATCATAACAAATAAAACAACATGGTGTAGTGGTAGACACCTCAGCGTTCAAGGAATTCCAAGGCTAGAGGTCAGGGGTTCGATCCCTGCCTCCACCAACTTGCATTTTCTTATTTACTTTCAAGTAATCCCATATGCACATGGACCGGATTCACACCATACTCCCTCACCAATCCAAGCGCCAGATGGCCAAAAGGACAGATCTGGTGGTCAGCATTGGAGGTCGACCAAAGAGCTAGTCAACGCGTGAGCATTGGATCAGAGAAGGTCAAACGGACCAGCTTAATGGGCCAACAAAAATGGCTTTCAGCACCTCCAAAAAAAAGGCCCATTTCTTTCTTTCTATTATATTTCCTTTTTATTAATTTAGTTATTTTATTTGATTTTAATTAATTACTAACCAATCATAATTTTTCCTTTTTATCAAAAAATCATCAAAAAATATTTTTATCCAATAAGATTTTAGAATTATTTTTTAATAAATACTAACTAATTAATTTAGGTTTTTAATTCTAGGAAACTTTAATTTATTTTTGTAAATATTTAAAATCAATTAGAAATCATTAGGTTTTAATTCTAATTTAATTATTTTAATTTCTTTCTTAAATAATCAAAAACTCCAAAAAATATGTCATTTATTATTTTTCATCATTTAATTTATTTAATAATTAATTTAGCATTTCATTTTAGGATTAATTTCTTTTCTTAAATAAAAACAACAAAAAAACATTTTCTTTTAAAAGGGTCAAAACCCTAATTGTGCATCCGATTTAATTTCGCGTCGCGCTTTATTTTTATCATATTGATGTATTTGCTCCCAGTTTGTAATAGATAATTAGGAAATTTTATTTATTTTACCGCTTTATTTTATTTTCAAAGGGTTGCTTTTGGCGATGTAAATACCCGACGCCTTGTAATTTAATTTCTGCACCTTTAATATCTGCTAATTATAACTGCTAGATGTTTGATAATAGGGTTTGCATGACAAGACTGAATGCTTAATCTTAAAATCAAATTAGATCACCGTTAACATGTGCAAAGATAAAAATAACTGAAAACGACACACTCGCACATGCACACTCCTAGGGTACACCCCACTTGGTTGCCTTTGTACACGGTCATTGAGTATAGGTTGTTTTAGAGGTCGTCCTCTTGTCTAAAAGATCATAGTCGCCTCGAAACAGTTGCCTCGGATATTGTTGCCTCAAACAAATGGTCTAAGACATTAGGGTTACCGCTAAGGCGTCCTAACATTGCTTTAGTGACCGTAAGTCCCTCATTTGAATTGACCCTAAAACTCTAACGACGATGCTACCTACTCATCAATAGTAGGATAGCATTGTCTAAAGGAAATTAGCATAGAATGATTCCTTTTTCGAGTAGGTAGATAACTCTTAGATACTTGCTCATCCAAAAAACAAAACTTTTTCACACTTACACTCCTTTTCAAACAAAGTTTTCAAAACACTTCATTACACTCTTGAGGACAGAAGCAAGAGTTAAATCGAAGTTAAAACAAACTTTTCAAAACCCACAAGCACAAAGAAAACATTTTGAAAATGATGAGCAAGTACCTAAGAGCCCGTAGATAACTACAGATAGAAAGGGTGCTAATACCTTCCCTTTCTATAATCTACCCCCGTGCTTAGAAATAATCTCAAAAAAGGAATTTTTCTGTGCTTTTTTCCTTTCCTTGTTGGATAAAATAAAAGTCGGTGGCGACTCTTGCTTACCGCGACATTTTGCAAAAACAAACGCAAAACACAAACCAGCATTCCAAAAATAGTCAGTTCTTCCCACCGTATCACAATACCATACAGAGGTTATTTAGTAACCTTCAACAAAAAGGAAAGTCTAGCAGCTGGTTGGAGCTTCCTTAATGTTCATATAACATCTTGAAGGATATTTGGTTTCAAAACCTAAAGTGCAGTCTTAAGGTAAGTCATCTTTACCTTGCCTTTTCCATAACATCAACTTTTCTGTTTATAGGATGTAGCAATCACTATTTTGAAGTTAATCATTTATTTGTTGTTCATGTTATTCATTCATATGTTAAAAAACTAACTGATGTATGCAAAGAATGGTGTTTAAGGCAGAAAAATGCAGGATGTATCGATACATATCCACATGTGTCGACCCATCTTAGTGAAAATACAGGGTATGAGTCGACACATGACCCTCATGCATCGACCCATACTGAGTTCAGGTCACAAAACAAAAACTGGAAAGGACTATGAGTCGACATATACGCATTTCACGTCGATGCAAAAAGGTGTATGAGTCGACACATCCCATTATGTGTCGACACATACTGAACATATTTCACTTAACAGAAGCTGGAAAAGCCTATGAGTCAATACATACGCGTTTCGCGTCGATACAAGAAGATGCATGAGTCGACACATCCCATTACATGTTGACCCATACTGAACTGATTTGGTTTTACAAGAGCATGAGAAGCTATGTGTCGATGCATAGCAGCATGGGTCGACACATAGCAGTTCAAAAGTGCATTTTTCCTTTATTCTACACTATTTTCACATTCTTTTCATTATCATTCGATATGGTTGTAATATTTTAGTTTATACTTCATCCCCATTTGTTAAATTATATCCCCATCCCCCTAAAGTGATGTAATAGCTTAGGTTTTACTTTCCGCCTTTTACTTGCTTTTCATATATTACTAGTAAATAAGTGTGTATGGTAAGATAAAACCAACAAATAGGCCACCCTAATCAAAGACTAAATGCATGTAAATAAAACACATTTGCACACTTACACCCTTAGGGTAATTCCACTTGTTGCCTATCGGAAAATACTCATGTCCCTCGAACATGGGCGTTTTAGCAAAAGACCCTCGATAAAAGATCGTAGTCCCTCGATGACCCTTGATGTTGCCTTCGGTAAACGATCTAGTCCCTAAAACGACATTGCTAAAACGTCCCATATGTTGCCTTCTATGACTATACAAACGTCCCAACGCCCGTCCCTTCACATCCAACGATGGAGCTTCTTACCAAATCAATGGTAAGATAGCAACATCTAAAGGAGGAGGAAAATCACATCTAAGACCTTTTGAGTAGGTAGGTTTGCTCTCAGTTACTCGCTTGCTCACAACAAAAACATTTTTATACACCCACACTCTCATCTTTGAACTATTTTCGAAACAAACACTTTGTAGGCGTTCTTATAGAAACAAGAACCATTACAAAGTTCTATTTTTAAAATACTTTCAAAAACACATCTCACAAATACACTTTTGAACTATTTTCAAAACAAACACTTTGTAGGCGTTCTCATAGAAACGAGAACCGTTACGAAGTTCCATTTTCAAAATACTTTCAAAAATCACCACCACAAGCACACATTCAAACAAAAGCAAGTGATCTAAGCAAGTAACTAAGAGCCCATTGAAAACCATGGATCAAAAGGGTGCTAATACCTTCCCTTTTCATAATCTACCCCCCGAACTCAAAAACATCTCTAAAGGTATTTCCTGTGCTTTTTCACCTTTCCTTTTGGATAAAAGAAAAGTCGGTGGCGACTCTTGCTAACCGCAACATTTGTGAACACAATCACAAAACCCTCAAGTCAGTTCTCCCACCGTATCACACCTACTCTTATATCAAGATGATATTAGAGAGGCTCACAATTAACAAGAACACAAACCTTAAAATCTCACTAAAAAATACAATATGTTCCACACCCTAATTAGGTTTGTAGCCTTCTATTTAAAACAAACTTTTAGATTGGGTTGGGCTTTGAAAATGCAGCTGGACATTGCACATAAAGCTACATATTTATCTCCTTAAAGATAGGACTTTAATAATTAGTTTCCTAAATTATCTCCATAATTAGAAATTAAGAATACTCCTTGAATTCAACTTGAATTTTCTAGTCCTTAAACTGAGCGCCACCTAGGATAGCATAATATTCCCAAAATATTCTACATATGTAACTAACTAAAGGAATCCAAGTGTCCAGCTGTAACATACAAGATGTCGGATAAACTGGATAGGATATTTGTCCTACATGTTCACTCAACAAGATTAAAACATCATATTTAACATGTTGCTGCCAAATTAGTTTTGCCAAAAATAATGCCAATCATAAAGATAGAGAATTAACACCTATTGTACAAAAGCAGTCAAAGGGAGATCATCTTTTGGTGCAGGAAGAGATTTTGGTTTAAAGAACTCCAGAAATGGCTCCATGATTCCAAAAAAAAATTCATGGAATTTTTTCTAAGTAGATTCAAAACAAATTTCCCTTAGCTGCCGGAAATGAGAATTAACCCATCTTCTAAAGTCAATCCGAATTGCATCACTCTCAACAGGGTTGACATAGTTTATGCAAAGTTGCATAAGAGTGCGTAGATGATCGTTTACTTCAGATTCAAATTGTAACAACACTTCATCAATACTTGGTTTAGGTTTCATAACGGATGTTGGTTCTGAGTAAGTTTTGGTCAAAAGAACTGATTTAAATGATTTCAACTTCAGAATCAGATGAGACTGAAATAGGTTTATATGAGGAATCATGAGAGGGAGGATTGTTTAGGATATGGTCCATAAAGGTGTCAATAGAGGGCGTGTTGACAATGTTTGGTTGAGTAAGTTCATTTGGTGGTGATGGTGTACAATCTGGAAAGGATGGGATTTCTGGAATGACAATTCGAAAAGATGTGTGAATAGATAAATTTGGTTATGGTTCAGAGGGGGAATTTTCAGGTTGTGGTTGTGAAAGTTGTAAAAGGAGTATTTTAGGAATTTGTGGTCATATGAATTCAGCTACATTGGTTTTAGATGGTTTTGGATTTGATGGTTGTTATGCACATGGTTTAAGATTAGTAGATTACTTTGGAGATGGAGTATAACTAGCTCCTAAAGGTATATTATAAGGAGGGATTTGTGATAACGGTTGTGAGGGAATGAGAGTGGGTGAAGATGAATTGTTGACAACTTTATTAGAATTCAAAGATTTCTCAACAATAGGGGACTTACTAGAAGATTGATTATGAGCAGGAGTTTAACTTTCTCAACAGTCTCATAACCTTTAACATCAGCTTCCTGAATAGTTCTCAGAGGCCTTCTCATTATTGTTGAAGTCTTAGCTTTGGCTGGAGACTTAAAAGTACTAAAAGGTCCTTAATCGGCCTTCTTAGAAGCTTTCCTCTTACTTTTGAAAGAGTAGGCTCAGGAGGAGCATTTGGAAGTTCTTCATAAGAATAGGCTATATAGGCTCAATACCCGAAGCAATGCAATTATCATTGTAGGATTGAAGAATTCCTAGAGGATCCAATTTGGTGAAAATAAGATAGCCATCAAGGACTATCCTTTTGGAGGTATAACATCTATATCCAGAATCTATGTAGGATCAAAAACTTTATAAATTAAAGACGTATTCTTCACATCTCCTCCATTGAAGATCTTTCCAACATTTATGACCAACTCCTTAGTCATGTTTAGATTTTGTAGCGTTTCCACAAGCTTGCTTTCCACTATAATATCAGAAATTAGTCTTCCCATAGGAATCCACTTTCTAACTTTTGCACCATTATCTCTTGTCTCCTTGACTAGCTCTATAATATACTTGAAAAGTATAGAAGGAAGATTCATCTTGATACCAAAATAGATGTAGAATAACATGTACTTTTGAGCAGTGTTGATGTAGTCGGGAGAGTTGCTTGATGGTCTATAATGCACACATCCCAGAAGAATCCTGAACCAAACATGAGGCAGTTGTGCAGATTCTTTGCATTTGTTGAATTCTTTTCATCTTGAAAGTTCACAATAGTAATTTTCTCCAAATTTTCCTTTTTGGAAGGCATGCCAAAACATATTTTACCAGTTCCATTGAGATTGAGAAGCTTAGTAATATATTTCTCAGTAATGTAGAACTTATCCCCCAAATCATATGAAGAGATCTGAAGCTTTGATTCATAAGCGTGAATCTAAAATGCTTAACCAGTTTAGGTTAAATTGGCCCTTTGAGACGGTTGAAAAACTCTTCCCATCCTCGAGTTTTAACATCTCTGGTGAGCTCATAATCGTTAGCCTTGAGTTTGTCAAAATCTACGATCATCTCACTCAAACCCTCCAAATCCTTGACTTGAGTAGATAAGTGAATTTCTTGAATACCTTCTTTTCGGTGATCTTGAGATTGTTGTTTTTGTTGTTGTTATTGTTGAGATTTGTCAATCATGGAGAATAAACGGGTTTAGGTTTGCAGAGAAAACTTTAGGTTTGAAAGAGAGAAAGTGTGAGATAGAAAATTGTGAAGTGTATGAATAGTGAGTGAAGTGGGTTTATACAAAGGTTTAGTAATGATGAAAAAATCTTGAGCAGTGAAAAGAGTTTGACTAAGGGAAGGCGTAAAGTGGTTTTACCTATTTCCAATCATTTCTTACTCCCAATGTGCCACTCAACCGTTAGAAGGGTTCGGTGTAAGACACTTTTCTTTTTTGATCCATAAACTTTCGTTTGATTGACAACTATTGATATTAAAAACTCTTCAGAATCTAGAAGGCATAACTTTTTTCTGAAAGGTTATGACTGGATACTTCTAAAACAAGAAATCTTCTGACTTCAGAAGACTCACTGTTCAGAAACATAAAATTCCAGAGTCTTATTTTATCATTATGAGAATTAAACATTTTGAGATATTCATCTTTTTCATTCTGGACATAATTCCATTTTCAAATGTTTTAGAATGAAAACAAATCTATCCTCAGCAATGGGTTTTATGAAGATATCAATCCATTGATGGTCTGTACCAATAAATTTGAAGTTTAAAATTCCCTTCTGAACATAATCTCGTATAAAGTGATGTTTATTCTCAATATGCTTAGCTCTAGAATGTAAAATGGGATTCTTAGATAAACCTGTAGCAAAAGTATTATCACAAAGAATAGGAACATTACTCTCATATATCTGAAATTCTTCTAGCTGCGTTTTCATCCAAAGGATCTGAGTGTTGCATCCAGATGCTGCAATGTACTCAACTTCAACTATTGACAGTGCAATTTTTTCGCCTCTTGTTGGACCATGAGATCAAATTGTCTCTCAAAAATTGACAGCTTCCAGAAGTGCTTTTTCTTTCTAGTGTATCTCCCATGTAGTCAACATTATAATAACCTACTAGCTTGTACTCTTCATTTTCTATAACACAAGCCAAGGTTAGTAGTATCTTTCACCTCCAAATATCCTCTTAACTACTGTTAAGTGGGACTCTATAGGATCTGATTAGATGTGAGCATATAAACAGACACTGAATAAAATGTCATTTCTAGAAGTAGTTAAGTATAAGAGAGAAACTATCATGCCTCTGTATACCTTTTGATCTATCTCATTGCTTACCTCATCCTTCTCCAGAATACACGTATGATGCATTACAGTTTTAGCTAGCTTACATTCTGACATGTCAAACTTCTTCAGAAGTTCTTTGGTATACCTGCTTTGATGGATATATGTTCCTTCTAGACTTTTATTTATTTGGATTCCTAGAAAGAACTTGAGTTCTCCCATAAAACTCATCTCAAATTCATCCTGCATAGACTTAGCAAACTCCTTCCACAAGGTAGCATTAGCAGAACAAAATATAATATCATCCACATATATTTGAACCACTAGGATGTAATTTTTTAATGTCTTACATAACAGAGTGGTATCAACCTTGCCTATGGTAAAGTTATTTTCTAAAATAAAATTGCTTAGTCTTTCTTACCATGCTCTAGAAGCTTGTTTCATACCATACAAAGATTTCTTATGTTTGAAAATATAATCTGGATTTTTATGATTTTCAAAACTAGAAGGTTGGTGTACATACAATTCTTCAATTATGTATGTTAGACTTAAGAATTCACACACAAGAAAGGGGTGAATTATGTGGTTTGGAAATACATGGTTTTGAAACCTTTTTGAGATTAAAATCAAAGTTTGAAAACATTTTTATATGTCTAAGCAGTGGAATATAAATATATAAAGTGCGGAAAATAAAAGAGTTAAGGGATGAAGAAAATCACCGAGAGTTATAGAGGTCATAATAAAAAGTGACCTACTCCTTTTCCCAAGAATTGATCTTGAGATTTTCCATTATATACTTAAGAGCTTTTAGTAGGTAAAGCTCAAAAACCACCTTATATTAGTAAATGGTGGTTGTCATACAACAAAACTATTATAAGACGAAATATATGATTATTCGCGTCTTTTCCACTGATATTGCTAAGACTGAAGTGACTGAGCTTTCTTCTCAACTATAGATTGAAGTGATTAATCTTATCTCCATAAAATAACTAAGCTCAATTTGGTTTAACACGATAACCAATAACCTCTTGAGATTTTAACATGCTGATCTTCTAACCTATGGTTTTAACCGGGTTAACCATGAACCTAATTCTAAGTTCATCAATATTCATAATCTTTAACCTTCAAATAAACAAGGCTTACTAAGAGCCTTAAGGAAAGTTCATCAATAGTAATGATCTTCAACCTAAATAAACATAGGAAGTGATCACACAATTCTCAACCAAAACTTTTAACATGTTTAGCTTCTAACCACATATTTTTATACATAAATAGAATATGTTCATCCTAGATGCACAAACACAATTCTCGGATAACTCATACAATGCTACCCAACTGGAATTACATGAACACCTAACTAACAAAAAGATTTTTCCTCATAAAAGTATTTGGCTATAAGAACTAATGAGAGAAAGTGAAAATAAAAACTTAGAGAGAGAGAGAGAGTGTGTGTGTGTGTGTATGAGTGTCAATACATAATTTATATTTGGGATGAAATAAAATAAGGAAGGAGACCTCTATTTATAGGCTTGAAAATCCTCTTACTTCATTAAAGCAAAAATGATTGTTGTTAATCGATTAACTCATTTAAATGCAATAACTATGAGTTCCAAAGTAGGTAAGAAGTGATGTATAGTTGTTGCTAATAGTTTAAGTGCATTCAAATTTCTTTGTTCCTCAAGAGCGCACTAATCTAATCGATTGACACTTTGTTCTAATCGATTAGATTTAGCCAAAAACATTTATAAAAAGGTTTTTCTCAAAGTTTTTTTCTTTTCAAAAATATTTTTATAAAAAGGTTTTAAGTGTGTGTGTGTGTGTGTATTCTTATAGCCATCTACTTCTACAAAAAAAAGAACTTTTGCTTTTACAAAAGTTTCACTCACTTACTATTTTGAGATATTAACTCGTCTAAGCCTTGTTTAATGTATTCATTGTGTTAAATTGCTTGAGATTTATTTTGAGGCTTTTGATTTAGTTTGTTTATTTGTCTTTGTATTAAACTTTGTAACTTTTTTGGTGTCTGAAACTTGTCAATTCTTATCAAACCTCATGTCTTGCATCTTTAACTACTTAAATTCATATGTTAACTTTCTTAATGGCTACATATTTACTATGTTGAATGTTATATGTTCTGATCTTTTATAGTTGTTTGCATCTTTACTATGTTGAATATCTATATATTATGTGCTTCACAGTTGTCATCATCTTTTGTTCTTCACAAATGTTATCATCAAAAGAAAACCTATTACATACAAACTAAGGTTCCACATTCTCCCCCTTTTTATTGATGACAACACATCTCTCAGGGAAGGTGGTAAAAGACACAAAGTAGATATATATTTTGGAGTGGTAATACCCCCTCTGAGTTAGATATAATGTATACTCCACTGAGAGTATACTTTTGCCCCTTTGTTAAAATAAAAAAGTGGGTAAAATATGCAAATATGCACACATGCTCAATTAATCTATAACACATAATATCATGGCATGATGAAAAGATGATCAATGTAATAATAAATGGCATAATGCAATTTAGATGAGCAACCAAACTGAATCACAACCTTAGGTCAAGCTATCATCAATTTCAACCACCTCTCTTGATGTATCAATGTGATAAACCTATCATAAATCTAAAGTACCAAAAATGATTCACATGATCATTTAATGGTATGTCTGAATTGATAAAGATTCATGCAAATAAAATAACACCTAAAGTCCATTGGTATTGATGAACCATTTGATTAAATAAGTCATAATCCAAGTCACCAGAAGTCAAACCAATATTAAAT